AAATTAATATAATTTAATTATATTATTCTAGTATTCTAGTTCTAACTATTCTATAATTATAGAAATAATAGAATAGTTATTTATTCTATATTTGATTTGTATTTGTTTTGTTTAACCTTCCAAACAAAATGAAATTTTATCGAAATTTTGTTATATGCTATAATATAATTATATATAGTATAGTTATATATAATATATTAATATATTCATTAGTAATATTATATTAATATTATATTCATTAGAAATTCTTTTTCTATTCAAATAAATTATGATATGAATTATCAATAGCTAAGAGCTAAGATCCCAGTAGTTTACTGAATTCCTATGCACAATTTCTGTTATGTAAGCCCGCTTAGCTCAGAGGTTAGAGCATCGCATTTGTAATGCGATGGTCATCGGTTCGACTCCGATAGCTGGCTTTTCTCTATTTGTTTGTTCGATTTTTGACATGATTGAGAATTTTTCCTTTTTTTCAATTTTCAAGGAATATTGAAAAAACTTTTTCCCTTTTTCCAAGGGTCGCCGATCTATTATGTCGTAAGAACTTCCAACTATGAATAAAAAACAGATTGGAGCAGTTAGATCTCTACAGAACAAATCAGGAAAAGGATCCTTAATTTCCTGTATATACATATATACAAAAGAGTCCGGATATTGATACAATTCATCTCATTCTTCTTTGTTTTGTAGTACAGTACTACAGTACTTCAGTAGATTTCGCTTCGTTTATCGTTTAGTTCAGTCTTAATTTAGGGTTTATTTTGTAAAATGAAATTTCAATAAAAAGGAGTCTTTATGTCTCGTTACCGAGGGCCTCGTTTCAAAAAAATACGCCGTCTGGGGACTTTACCGGGACTAACTAGTAAAAGGCCTAAAGCTGGAAGTGATCTTAGAAACCAAGCACGTTCCGGAAAAAGATCTCAATATCGTATTCGTTTAGAAGAAAAACAAAAATTGCGTTTTCATTATGGTCTGACAGAGCGGCAATTACTTAAATACGTTTGTATCGCTAGAAAAGCCAAAGGGTCAACAGGTCAGGTTTTACTACAATTACTTGAAATGCGTTTGGATAACATCCTTTTTCGATTGGGCATGGCTTCGACCATTCCCGGAGCCCGGCAATTAGTTAACCATAGACATATTTTAGTTAATGGTCGCATAGTAGATATACCAAGTTATCGCTGCAAACCCCGAGATATTATTACGACGAGGGATGAACAAAAATCTAGAGCTCTGATTCAAAATTATCTTGATTCATCCCCCCATGAGGAATTGCCAAAACATTTGACTCTTCACTCATTCCAATATAAAGGATTAGTCAATCAAATAATAGATAGTAAATGGGTCGGTTTGAAAATAAATGAGTTGCTAGTCGTAGAATATTATTCCCGTCAGACTTGAACCTAGTTAAAATAACAAAACAAAGATTCGACAAAGATTCGGACAATACAATTTTTCTCCCTTTCGCCAAATTAAATCGACCTAAGGTAAAAAGGGGTTTGATCCGGATTTTTCTCCCATTCATGTATCATAAACGGATCCGCAGGGATATTTTCATTCCTTGTCCACTCTTTCCAGTATTTTATTTTCCGTACCACAGCAATTAGGAATAGAGAATCTCTATCAAAGAAAAGTCTAACTGTTGGAATAACGGTATCCATTGTTATTTGATACATTGCGGTCAGTAACGTGAATTAGGTGAAGGTACGGAAAGAGAGGGATTCGAACCCTCGGTAAACAAAAGCCTACATAGCAGTTCCAATGCTACGCCTTGAACCACTCGGCCATCTCTCCTACATAATGATTATGACCCCGAAATCGAGTGCATAGCGAGTCATTCATATTATTTTATTACAATTATACAATTATATATAGGTATAGGTACGACCAATTAATTTCTATTATAAATAGAAAAGAAAACTTTTCATCAAAGAAAGATCTTCCTTCGAGGCTTGGGAGATAAAAAAAATACATTTTTTTATGAAAAATCATTCAAAACAAAAGAGATATATCTATTCATGTTTGTCAAGATGACGATCCCGTCTTTTTCTGATATGATATTTATACCGGATTAACCCAATGAATTGGAACAAATTAACCGATGGTTCTAGATATTTTTTTTATTTATATTCTATTTCTATTTTTTTTTAGACTATAGTTACGGTTACGTTTAGACCATGGTTCTATTTAGATTATGTTTTTATAGGAATTAAAAAATTCCTTTCCAGTTTCAGATTTCTCAACAACAATTCCTTACCCCATAGATCTATTACAAATTTATGAATCATACCATGGATTTTTATATTTCGATTGTATGGTGTATACACGCTATGCGCACAAAATAGATGGTTATTCTATTTTCATCATAGAATGATTATTCGATTCTTTTTCCTTTTTGGATCATAATCCAATCAAAACTTCTCGAGTTATCATAATCTGTAGAAAAAATTCCTTGATTCTTCAACTTCGATGAAATAGTAATAGTTCCGTTCATTGGTAT